ACAATGAACAAAAGGGTGGGTCAGGTTGAAATAGTGTGTGTCTACAAGTACCGTATTTTTCGCCGTATAAGACGCACTTTTTCTTCCCCAAAACTGGGGGGGAAATGTCAGTGCGTCTTATAAGGCGAATATGGAGCGGCCGGTCCGGTATTTCCACCGCGGCCGTGTCAGAATACCGGGCCGGCCACTCAGCTCTGCAGCGGGACCTTACCTGTTCCTCTATCCAGTGGCGCGCGCTGTCTTCCGACTTCTGTAGTGTGGGCACTGGGCATGACAGCTGGGTGCCCAGTGTGCATGCGCGAGAAGCGGTGCGCTTTGTGAATGGTAAGGCGGTACCTGGGACACATGACAGATCCCAGAAGCCGCCGGACCAATCACAAAGCGCAAGTGCTTCTCGCTCATGCGCACTGGGCACCCGGCTGTCATGCCGAGCGCCATTACAGAAGCCGGGAAGACAGCGCACGGCTGGATCGAGGAACAGGTAAGATCAAAGAACAACTCCGCGGAAGTAAGAACGGGTACCTGTCAAATTCAGGTACCCGCTCCCCACCTCCCCAAAGGTCAGCAATCATCTGTACTGTCCGCAGTCTCTGGTCATCCCTGTGCTGTCCGCAGTCTCTGGTCATCCCTGTGCTGTCCGCAGTCTCTGGTCATCCCTGTGCTGTCCGCAGTCTCTGGTCATCCCTGTGCTGTCCGCAGTCTCTAGTCATCCCTGTGCTGTCCGCAGTCTCTGGCCATCCCCGTGCTGTCCGCAGTCTCTGGTCATCCCTGTGCTGTCCGCAGTCTCTGGTCATCTCCTGTACTGTGTCTGCAGTCCATTAGTTCAGAATTTTTTTTTTCCTGTTTTCTGCCTCTAAAACCTAGGTGCGTCTTATGGTCAGGTGCGTCTTATACGGCGAAAAATACGGTAATTCTAAAGAACAAACAGATTTTAATTGCAAATCAAAATGAGAAGGAATAAAGTAATAAATAGAAAGTACCTGTAGGCTGGCAAATAATAATGGGAGATTTGTGAAAAAGTTTATAACACCCAGCAAGAGGTCAGGAGCTCTGTCTAAGTATAAATGATATATAAAAAAAAAATAAAAAAGGGGGCAGGGAGTAGGTGGATTGGGAAGGGGAAATAAGGAAAGTGTATGTGCTGCTCTTTTTAAATACGAACAGAACCTATCCAATAGAATATATAGAATCCTATAGCAAAAAAAACCTAGAGAGGAGGTGAAAGCCTGGTATACCCTATAAGTTTTTTTTGGTTCATCCAGTGGGTTTGACAAACGACATTAGTGCAGCGATCTCCCCTACTGTGCTATGTGCTATTGTGTTCTGACAGGGGGACCACCCCCCCTGCCGGAACTCACTGGAAAGTGCTCGCAGCCATTGGCTGCAAGCACTGATTGGATGCTGGTTGGCTTCTGGTTTTAGAGCATGCTCGTTTGACAGTAGATGGTTGCGAGATCGGGTTTCTTTTGGACAGGCAGACACACAGGCAGAAAGGCGGTCAGTTTCTACTTTAACAGCTGATTTTGGCCAATATTTGGGTCACATAAAATCTCTTAGTGGCATGATATTCATTTAACTATGTTGTTTAGTATGTACCCGACATTACACAAATATGTGCAGCAATCATACCAAAACAACTCAATAATCCAAATAGTATTAGCAAAAAAAAAAAAAAAAAAAAGTAATTCAAACAGTGCTTGCACTAGTGTTTAGGCCCCTTTCATATAACGCAGACTCTGTTATGATCAGCAGAGGACCTGTCCGCTGATCCCCTGCTGATCAGACCACAGCAAGTGGATGATACAGTAGGTCCATGTCTGCTCAGTTTAAGCAGAGCAGACACAAACCGAGCCCACTCTGCTGTACAGACCAGCAGGTGTAAGCGTACTCCGCTGTCTGTTTACACCCGAGTGCCCTCCGAACTTCCTAGATGGAAAGGGACAGATAACCTTTCATTTTTTTCCAGCGGACTGGATTGGATTGGAGATAGTCAGTAGATCAATAGGGGTGAATGGAGGGTCCAATCAGTTCCATCTGAAAAACTAACAGGTGGACCTGATTGGACCCTTTGTATGAAAGGGGCCTGAAGACTTGGTCATGATTTACATATATCTTTTAATAAATATTTCCCACATCACAGTATCATGAAGTCAACCCTGCAGAACAGAATCACAAGTGCTTCTATTATTACAATAAAAATTAAATCACACACTTGCAAAAAAAAAAAAAAAAAATAATATATATATATATATATATATATATATATATATATATATATATATGAGAAATCAGAAGCATAACAATATATGAGCTGAACACAGCCTTCAGTTATACCCCAATGGGTTTTGCATTATTTAGGGGAATTTTCTTTTTTTTTTTTTGTTAATGTCCAATCAGCCATTGATACAGTATTTCATTACAAGAAGTTGCTTTTCTAAAAACTGAAGAAAAAAATGTGTCAACATTGTCCTTCGCAGCAAATCAGATATCAGCTATTCTTTTCTAACTTGTACATACAAATGATGAATTTGACATGATTCATTGATATGAACGACACTTTTCTACAGGTTTCCAGTTAGCTCAGTTTTTTCTTAAAATATTAGTATCATTGTATGCCAAATGTATTAAACTACGTCATTCAAATATGTTTTAAAGTCACAGTCACCATTTACAAATGTCCATGTACATAGAATATCAATTCTATTTTTATAAGAACAAAATACTGTTTTGTTTTTTTTAAATGTTGCATTTCCTTAGGGATTAAAAATAAACTACTGTAACTGAAGTCCAGAAAACCCACAGCATGTTGGTTGAATTAAAAAAATGACATGAGACTATTTTAATACTGTTATGGTTAAAGTATGGCTACTTCATAATTACGTGCTCCAAACTGAAGTGTAATGTAGGCGCTGGAGCTGTGCCAAAACAGTTGTGCAAAATTCTGAAAATCTGTTCCTTAACAGACTTAAAGTTGTTTCCTTCAAAGTCAATCATCTGCATTGTAGTTAGACTAAAAATGAAATGTGGAATCTGTTCAGGGTCACAGATAAGTCAAAGCTAATGAACTTTGCCATCATTTTCAGACTTCATAACAGCAACATATGTTTTCATTTATTAAGGTAAGCTACTCCAAAATATGAAAAAAAAAACACATCCAAAATCACAGGAGGAATTCAGAAAAGAAATAACACTTCAAGTATGGTTCCTGAAGATCTTCCCTCTGTGCAAAGTTGTGGCTATCAAAAGATCCTAACCAATACTGTTCTTTCATATTCTTCAGATTGGAAAATTCAAAACAGAAATTTCTCAAATTAAGTTATCTTCAGATGTAGAGTTTTATGGTTCCCAGCTTGAAGTTTCAGGGCTTGTAAATCCACAGTAAGAGTTGAGTTCAACATCTCGCAAATTTATTTTTTGATCTTCATAGTCATTTTAAGAAGAACCGTTACATCTGATTTGGATACACTGCCAAATGATATATTTGTCTAAGCTTTCAGATAATTATGGGATTTAACAGAATTTTCACACCAAGGAGATATTCCATTGTAGAATACTGTCAGAATTTTAGGCTCACAATTTGCTAGGATTTTGATCATATTTAGAAGTAAACTGGAGGCCCCAAGGATTCAGATTGAGATAAATATGACAAGACCATAGATCTACAATAAAAAAAAAAACAAGATTTCAAATTAAAATTTTAAATTAGCCAATGGCTGACTTGTCACCAATCCCTAGAATTGTAAATAAAGTTCATTATCAAAGAAAAAGTATCTGCTAAAATTAAATGGACTGCAGAAGGAATTTGGCAATCTTTCTTGTCAGTAATACCTAGGACACATGATGAGAATATTGGACGAAAAACACCACTTTCAGAGCGATTGTTCGATAATCTGACGTTAGTACACAGCTTTCGAGAGCCAATCATGACAGTTCATGTGAAATTATCCGAAGGGCTAAGTACAAAAAAATTTTTTCTTGTACAATATCAGAACAAGCGTTTTTAATTTAACCAGTACAGTATTCATCTGTAAAAACTGAGTGACCAAGACCACACGTGCTTGGAAATGAAAGATTACATTACAATACAAAAAATTACATCACAAAGTTGTATTCTGTCTAATGAGAATTTTCGTAACTTTGGTAACCTATTCATTTTCGATATGAGACTAGCATGCAAAAAAAAACCAAAAAAACATGGATGATCGTTCGTTCGATATTCTTATCAAGTGTACAAGGCTAAAGGGACCAAGTTTAAAGGAACTATCCACTGCTACTGGAACACTGTATAGTTTATGTTAGAAAAAAGTGCTAATATTTAAATAATATGCCAGATAATTAAAGCTGACTTTCTAAGATTGGATGACATTCTTGAAAATATATAAAACAAGAAGGTTAGATGCTAGAGAATAAATAACAAATGTGATAGGTCTTCCGTGGAGCCATCAGAGACCTGTGAATTTTTAGCTGATGATAGAAGCAGGCTTGGGATAGGTGTTGAATAATCACAAATTCTTATTTGGGTTTAAGGACTTTTTTTTGTTCTTATTCAAATACAGTATGTTGTATTGAAAATTGTATCTAGATCTTTTTTTGGACAATGGCAATGGGATCTTCCAAATTAAGGACATATTATTTGGTGGCATGACAATATGGAAGGTTTTTGAACTCTTCTGACCTCTTTTCTGCTCATAAAAACAATCATGCCTTTTTTATCTAACTGCCACCTTGATTTTGAGCTTTATACTGCCGAGAGATATACAGTCAGTTTTGTGAGATTAGAACAAGCCTTTTTAGTTTGAAACTTTATAACCTAAAAAACTTCCATAAAGTGTAAAATCTACATCGCATCCCTTCCTTTTTTCCAAAAAAGAAAAAGAACATTTTTTCAGTGATGGTTACACATAATAAAAAACACTGTTAATTTGAGAAGAAGTAAAAACAAAAACATTTTAGAACTGCAATAAACAAAATACAATACCTATCCTTCACCTTCCAAATTCTTATCTATGAGAAGATTTGTAATTCTCCTTTGCATACAATGGGAGGGTATGCAAGACAATGGGTTCCACAATGATGCAGCTTGGTTTCAAAGACTGGCAGGACTCAAGTTCAGGAGGAAGGGTTTCGATTTGGTTTCCTACCAGCTCAATCTTAATAAGGTTTGTCAGGTCACCAACTTGTGGGGAAAGGCTGGTCAGGCTGTTTTTTCCCAGCAACAAATACTGAAGCTTGCTACATTTAAACAGCCCAGATGGCAAAGTTTCAATCTACAATGAAAAGAAGAATGTTAGTAATTATAGCTAAACCCAGCACATAAATCATAATTTGATTATATTTTTCTTTTCAGGGAAAAATACGGCCCTGTCACTTTACTGATGGCTCTTATGTCACTACAATACAAAAGAACTGGCAGAAGAAACCACAGCATGCGACGGGAAAGCACACACACATGTATATCTGTAGCGGCTGGAGGGCAGAAAAGAGTGGGTGTTTGAAGAGACTGACAGTGGAAAAAAATATAGATGTTCATCTTTTAGGCCTCGTTTATATGGGGCGATTGTATTCTTGCCCTGTGCAGGGTGTTCTGTGCATCCCCATGCTGGCTCTTGGGACCCAATGGCTGCACAGACACAGGCGATGCATACAGCTGCAGGCATCATCCTGGTATACTGAATGGGGAAAGAACAAAAAGAGGGCGCACAGGCCTAGTGCATTACCATAAAAAATGTTTAATAAAAAATAAAGTAGGTGTTGTACTCACAAACTACAATATAGTCAAGGCACATCATAAAAGAACAGCTGGATCAACACCGCGCTGAGTAACAGTCCGCAATAGGGAGTTTGTGAGTACAACACCTACTTTATTTTTTATTAAACATTTTTTATGGTAATGCACTAGGCCTGTGCGCCCTCTTTTTGTTCTTTCCCCATTCAGTATATTTGGATTCCCCCGGTCCATTTGAGGGCAGCAAGGTGTGCATGTTCCAGGACATTCTTAATGTGGTTGTAGCATCGAGTCCATCCCCAAGCGCAGGAGCATTTGTGTTTGCTGGTTCTTTATCATCCTGGTATAACCACTCAAAGTCCAGTGATGTACCAGTACGTCACTGATCCTTGTTGGGTGTATATGCATTGTTCTTTTTTTTTATACAGCCTGTTTGCTGAATGAAAAAAAGAGAAGAAATCTCTGCCAGAAAAAGTGTGTGGTATGCCAACCATTAGAATATACCTCCCTGCATCCACCCACTTCTAATGGTAGGCACACATGAAATGTGCCAACAAATATTATAAAATATACATGCCGAAGCATAGGGGCCATCCACCCACTGGCCACCCCAGGCCCCCATGCTTCAGCATATATGCTCTTTTTTTTTAACTGCGGATGAAAAATCTCATCCAACAGCGCTACACACACCACTGTACATTCTGAGAGCAAGACCCTGTTGCTGTCAGAATAAACAGTTCGGTGCTGCAGCTGAATGGTGTTCCTGCAAACAATGGTTAACAATAAAACAAAGTAATAATAGAACATTAACATAAACCAACAAGTGAATAGTGTTCCTGTAAAGCAAACGGTTGACAGACACGACATTAATGCACGTAGAGAAATGGGAAAGAGATATGGGAAGAAAAAATAGAGGAGCAGGAGCAGAGGAAAATGTTCACACTAATTCACGAAAATATTAGTATGAGTGAAGTAGAAATAAATTATAAGTGTTTAAATAGATGGCACATTACCCCTAACGTGGAGCACAAGATGAATACGGAAATGTCACAGATGTGTTGGAGAGGTTGTCGCGAGGAGGGCACGTGGTATCATATGTGGTGGGAGTGCCCAGAAATACAGGTGTTTTGGCGGAGGATAGTTTATTTGATAAGAAAAATTACCAAAATCAATATAGGATTGGATCCAGAATTATGTCTCCTCCATATCTCAGAACTTTCAACGAAGGTATATAAGAGTTCGGGGATATGGCATTATCTGACCGCAGCAAAGAGTCTGATCCCCAGGTACTGGAAGAAAAGAGAGGTGCCAACTGAGGAGGATTGGATGGGAAGAGTAAATCAGATATCTGGGACAGAAATATTGTATTATACGTATGAGGGCAAGTTGGAGATATATAATAAAAAATAGAAAGCCTGGGAAGAATATAAAGCAAAGGTGAAATACATGAAGAGATAATTCTCCTGGAAGTGGGCTTAGAATGGAGTTTAGAAACAACAGAAATATATGGAGTAAACGAGACAAGAGAAAGGGTGGAGCGTGGGAGGGAGGGGGGAGGAGGGGAGGGGATGCGGAGAGGGAGGGGGGGATGTATGGGAGGGGGGATGGAAAAGGAAGTTATGTATATAATTAATTAAATTATATAAGGAGAAATTACTGTTTAGATAACTATTTTAATAGAAATGTGGAAATGATTTGTATATGATTTGAAAAACAAAATAAATATTTATAATAAAGACAGACACGACATCTTCTTTGGGGTGACCTTTGGGTTGTAGTACCAGAGATGCCATCCGGAAAATGCCTCTCATGCAGCCGGCTAACTGCATCTGGATTGAGGATTGGGCCACAGTGCCTTCTGCATACAAAAGGGCTGTGATGATCTCTTCCTGAAATTTTAGGAAGGATCCACTTTGTCCAGTTGAAACTCAGTTCGTCATTGAAACAGGTGTTCCTGATCTGATATAACTATAATATTTTGGATTTCCCCATCCATTTTTGTCCCTGTGGCAATGGTCACCAAGACAAATATGGACACAGATCACAGAAGAGGTTTCCACCCTACCCCACCTTATTTAAACCTAAAATAAAACATTTTGACCATGGATACAATTTAATTGGAATGCATGGATATATTGGTGGGATCCGGAGGTGCTCTGTATACATACCTGTCTCTATGTCCACATAATGTAAGTGCTCAAATGGGCTGTTTTGTGGCTTTAACCTAAATAAAGCATTATTACACTGTGTATGGTTTTTTTTTTTAGTTGTCTGATTTATTGTGACATGGAGGAGATGGGAAATTGGTAATGAGCTGTGTAAGTAAGATTTGTCTGCTTTATGGTGACATGGGGAAGATGGGAGATACTCAGAGGAGCTGGAATAATAAAAGAGACACATTGTCACCTTTTTAATAATTTAAGAGAGCCATGTATTCCAACCAGAGGAAGTGGAGGTGACAGCAGACGTAAACACCCCACCCAATGCATTTTGTCTTCAGGGAATTTTCCTGAAAATGTCTAGTACAGACAAAACTCTCTGGGTGGGCTTTTACCCATGACATCACTTACGCTTATGCTGGTTAAAACACAGGGCCATATCTGTGAGGGCCAGTAGCGCTGCATATGCATACCAGAAGGGCTCATATCTGTGTTTCCACCTAATGTAAGTGCACACTTAGGCTGCTTATGATTTTAACCTAAATAAAAAAAAATTAATATACTGTGTATGTTTTTTTTCAGCTGTCCGCTTTATTGTGACATGGAACAGATGGGAAATTGATAATGAGCTGCATAAATCAAAAGATTTGTCCGCTTTATGGTGACATGGAGGAGATGGGGGATTGGTAATGAGCTGCGTAAATTAGAAAAGAAAGATACTCCAAGGAGTTGGAAGAATAAAAGAGGAGCATTGTCACCTTTTTATTAATTTAATGGTATATACAATCCAGTGAGCGTTTTCACAAAAAGGGAGGTGTAAAGTGGCACTGGATTGGTTTTTTCAGCATATTGAGGGTGCACTTGGATGTAGGAGCTCCAGGATTTCTTTGCACTAAAAAGGGACATGTGAATGTTGTGTTAAAATGTCTCCTGTATTCTTCGTATGTCTGGGCTATGGGGAAGAGTGGCAAGATGGAAGCTGGGTCTGGCGAGTGGGCCTTGTGGATGCTACTTGTTGCCATAGTTAGAAACTGAGCCATTAGGAACTACCTACCAGATACCCCACAGCCCTAAAATTGACTGAGGGCCTTATTGACAGCCTTAATGTGTGCCAATAGTCAGGACTAAAGACTGTTTCTTAACAGTTGCTGTCCTAAGGCCTTTTCTTTTTTTTAGTTAGTTAAAAAAGTACCTTTTACTGTATCCCAACCAATCCCTTAGAGTGCACTCTATCCTAGTGTAGTTTTATCATCATTTATACTGCATTTAATGTAATGTGTAATGTAATTTAATATAAACCCTAATTTTTGCCAATTTAACATATTTATTACTCTGTCTAGCAGACTATGTCATAATCTTTCAGCTGTGTGCTTTATGTTCAATTCTAACCCATATCAATATATTAAGAGCATTTACCACTAAATGGGTAAATGTCTATTTACTGGTAGTAACCCACATCCTGGATAAAGATATTTTACACTTGTGTATTTATCCATGCGTGCAGAGATTTTTAGTCAACCAGATGTGTCAGAGGTTGTTCTTGGAGTCGAGGCACAGAACAGAAAACCCAAAGTCACCAAGCGGTTCCTTCAGGGATGGCGCTACACACACTTCCATCATAACTGGCTGCATAAACCTGAAAACACTGGGATTGTTTGAACTGAAAAATAATCAGCATATACTCACTCTTGTTCCACTCCTCTATAAGATCTTTCAAACATCTGTACTCCCTTTTAAAAAATTTAGATTAATCTATATGAAACTCCTAAATTGCAGATTGCTGATGTTTTGTTTTTTTTTTTGAATGCGTGTAATTTAAGCACCAGTAAATTAATGTTACAATAAACTTCCATATGCAATTTAACTTGAAACAATAAACACATTTTTCAGTTTATTTTTTATAGCTTGGCTGTGTTATCTTTTTTAAACATAAGCATACTTTTAGGCAAAATGAATGATGTTACTTTGCTTCCAAAAAAGATTATTAGTTTACTTACTATTTATAAATTCAAAGGAAATATTAAAGAACAAAAAAGGTCAGTGGTGAAAAATACTTACATTATTTTTTGTCAGAGCAAAATGCTGGAGATTCTTTAAATGTTGGATTTCCTCAGGGATGAAAGTTAAATTGTTGTAACTTAGGTCCACAACTCGCAGCTTACTGCACAAAAAAAGCTGAAGCGGAACCATTTCAATATTGTTATTGTTTAAGTACAGCTGCTCTAAGCTGGCTAGTGCACCAATCTGAAGTGGAATGTAGGCGATGGAGTTGTGCCACAACTTTAGGCAAGTCAGTTTGTGCAGATGCTGAAAGCTAATAATTTCCTCAACGGTCTTAAAGTTATTTCCTCTAAAGTCAATTTCTCGCAGTTCAGTTAGACTGAAAATGGAATGTGGAATTCGCTCTAGGTCACAGTTAATTAGTTCTAAGCTGGTAAGGTTAACCATTTTTTTCAGACTTATTAATATCAACAACCTATTTCCTTCATTATTAATGCTAAGCTTTTCTAAAAATGGCAACATGTCAGTAACTACAGGAGGAATCCGAGGAATACTACTATTCAAGGAAAGATTTATCAGGTTTTTCAGGTCCTGAAGACCTTCAATCTGTGCAAAGTTGTGATTATCAAGAGGTCCAGATAAATACAGTTCTTTCAGGTTTTTCAAATGAAAAATCCAAGATGGAATCTTCTCAAAGGAAGTAAACTTCAGATGCAGGGACTCGAGGTTCTCTGCTAGAAAGCTCAAAGCTTGTAGATCCACAGTAAGAGTTGAGTGGTAAATATGAAGTTCCTTGAAGATGACCAGCTGAGTGATCATTGGTGTAAGTTTGGCATCTGGTATGAGTTCTAACTTCATAACTTCTATTTCATTGAGTTCAAAGACATTGTCTGGCAACCCATTCAGCATGAAAAGATGAAGTTCTACTTTGTCCTTGGAGCTTCGGGTTAGCTTATTTCGCAGCATTTCCACTGTCCATTCGTTGTTCAAGTTAATTTGTTTCAGTTTGTTCTCACTAACCTCAGACAAAAATATTGAGAAACGCTTGGCGTACAATGGATCATACTGGTCAGCTAAGTGGAGCATAAATGCAAAGTCGTTTTGGACATCTGGGATATCGCTGTAATTACTTTTTTCCCTGACAGCTTCAAATGAATATTGTTTCAATGAACTTCTTAGCATCCACCAGAGGCTATAAAAACAAGCAAACCCATACAAAAACACAAGAAGGACATAAAATGTTGCCAAAACCTTAAAAATTGCAGCAAGGGAATAAACACACTGATACCTCTTGTACCCTGTGAAAGCTTGAATATCAACTATGCAGTCAATTTCAAACGTTATATGCATCAAAAAATACGTAACGTATGTAATAATTATAAGTAGTGCAGCAACTTTAACAATAATCTGTTTCAGGTATAGCCTATAGATGATGTCTTTTTGCTCAACATGAAGGCGGAACCGACGTACTTTTTCAAATAAAGCTTTGGCTTGTTCTCCTTCTTTTTTGTCTAACAAACCTGAAGCGTCGTCTTCTACTGCAGTGGCCTCCACCCCTGACTGTAGAGGCTGTTTCCCAGAATCTATGTCTTCGGCGTTGGAAGATAGGGAAGTCAGTAGGCGTGACCTTTTGTGTGTCTGATTAATCACAGTTTGTTCTGCAACAGTCTCTGATAAAGCTCGGGTTGTCCAGGGGGAATCAAAACATTTATAAAGAATGGAAACAAAGTGTTCCAGTCTGGAACTTGTGCTTGGGTAGTGAAGCCAAAAATTGCTGCAGATGGCAAATATAATAGTATGAAGAAACACCAGATAAGGGAAAAATTTGGTAAACCAGTGAAGCTGTTTCTCATAGCACACGGCATCAATATAAGAATATTGTTGGCGGTCCAAATCTGTCTGTATTCCTGTTGCGTTACCTAATTTTCCATAGGAACCGGCTGGCAAATGAATTCTTGAGATTACTTGCTCTAGAGGATGTGTACACTGATTGTTCACTTCCGCTTTGCAGGGAAGACAAAGCATTCGGCTTTGCGTGAGCTGTAAAGCACCTGCCAGCACAGCAATCATCAACATGACCATAGTGATGTAATACCAAAACACGTCCCACCATGGCTTTAGAATATGATAGGAAGTCTGGGCATCTGCCAAAAACCTCAGCTCTGTGACAGTTATCATGGCTCCGGGCTAAGACAGCTGTAACAAAGAAATTTACAAAAGTTATTACAAGTAGAATTTGACATGACCATCATTATAGTGACACTGCATATGGTACATCTAAAGCAAAAAGTAGTCTTTAAATCTGAACTCTAGGCAAATAGCTAAAAAAAATACAGACAGCTGTTTTAGGAATTGTACAAGAATTGGTATTTCTGTCCATCCATTCCGGAGATTTACACAGCCCTGCTAGACAGCACAAGTAGGTTAGTGTCCTTCTGGAAGCCCTAGGGATCGGAGTTAGAATGAGGGAGTATATAGGAAAATAGTATATGTATAGGGAGCCCTCCGCAATTATTACGGTGAATGGGGAAAGATCGGAACCTATTGAGATGTCAAATGGAACAAGACAGGGCTGTCCCTTGTCCCCATTGTTCTATGTTATGTCATTAGAACCCTTGCTGTCAACGATAAGGAAGCGTAGAGATGTAAAAGGAATCCAGATAGAAACTATAGAACACAAAGTGGCAGCTTTTGCAGATGATTTGTTGTTTTATGTGGGAAACCTCAGGATAACACTCCCAAACTTAATGAAGTTAATGAAGGAATATGGGGAACTATCAAACTTAAAAATTAACCCAACAAAAACTGAGATTTTAAAATATAAATATCTTAAAAAGCGAAAGAAAAGATACAAAAGGAATTCCCCTTTATATAGAAAGAAAGAGATATAAAATATTTAGGAATAAGACTCACTGCTTCATATAAAGACATGTATAAATTAAACTATATTTCACTGTTTAACGAGATCAAGGTGGAATTGAAGAGATTAGAAGGAGGAAACCCGTCATGGATAGGATGCATAAACCTGGTAAAAATGGTTATAGCACCCAAGATCTTATATAAATTTTTCAAATGATTCCAATCAAACTTCCAGAAGCTTTCTTTAAGGTAATGAAAGGTATGATAACAAGATATATATGGAGGAATAAAAAACCAAGAGCATCCTATGAAATATTAAGTAGAAATAAAGAGAAGAGTGGATTGGGATTACCAGATTTTAAAAGATATTATAAAGCAGTAATGTTAGTGAGAATTTTTGATTGGACACATAATCTAAAAGAGAAAAGTTGGATTAAAATTGAAAAACAATTGAGTGGAACTAACTTGAGTAAAATTATATGGGTACCAGCACAATATAGAGGATTAAAAGATGGATCAAGTTTCTATACTTTAAATGTTTTAAGGGTGTGGGATAATTTGCACAAACATATGAAGTGGGATTTTAATTCGATATTAATGCCACTAAGAAACACAGAATTTTTCCCTCCAGGTAGAGAGGAGATAACAGGTAGATGGTTTAAAAAAAGAGGATGTTCAACTGAGAGATATATTGGTGGAGGGGGTATTGAGACCATTCAAGGAATTAGAAAAGGAAAAAGGTGAGATCTTTATTAGGTTAGATGAGTGGCGTTATCATCAATTGAAGTGTTTTGTTGTGAGTCTTCCGAAACCACTGAGACCTAGAAAGGACTGGAACTTGTTTGAAAAGTTGTTGGAAGCACGAGGGGATGGGAAACACGGTATTGCAAAAGTATATAAAATTCTCACCGAATTAGACACAAATCATAAGCCAATGTATATAGAAAAGTGGGAAAGAGATATGAGGATGGTTTTTGATGAGGATAAACAGAAGAAAATATATAGGTTATCTCACGGGAGTGTAAGTATGAAAGAGGTAGAAATGAATTATAAGTGTTTTTGATAAGATGGCACATTACACTGAATGTTGAGCACAAGATGAGTGGGGAAAATTCACAGTGGTGTTGGAGGGGATGTGGTGAGATTGGCACAGTATATCACATATGGTGGGAATGCCCAAAAAATTCAAGTATTTTGGAAGTCAATAGTTCACTTAATTGGGTTGATAACAGAGACTGACATTGGGTTAAAACCAGAGATTTGTCTTCTACACAATATGGAGTTATCAGTGAGTAACTATAAGAAACTAAGTATAGGGGGTTATCTAAATGCTGCAAAAAGTCTGATACCCAAGTTCTGGAGGAAAACAGAGGTGCCGAAGGAGGAAGACTGGATAGAGAGAGTGAACCAGATTACTAGGATGGAAAAACTTTATTATATGCAGGAAGGCAAGATGGGGATATACTATGTAAAATGGGCAAAATGGGAAAAATCTGGATTTAATGGGAAATATAGGAAGGTATAGAGTGATTTGATGTGTTGGATTTTCTTGCTTTGATAAGGAAAAATAGAGGAGAATGCAGAGTGGGCAGAGGGAGGTGGGGGGGAGGCAGGAAAGGAAAAATGGGATGGGCGGGTATGGGGAATTGTGTTACAAAAGTAATATAGAAATTATTTTTTTTTATATTTAAAGTGAATATGTTGGAAAGTGTATTTATTTGAAAAATTAATAAAAACATAAATTAAAAAAAAAAAAAAAGTAGGTTAGTGTTCTGACTTTTTTTCTACTATAGTTATTCAATACAGCTAGGTCATCTCCCTGTCCCAAGTCTGTAAATGATCAATAGAATTTACACAGCCCCCTCACATAAAACAGCCTAATGGATGACACCATGTACAGTTACTAAATATTGTGATGTCTTCCCTCTACCCCCCCAGCCTTCTGAATGGAAAGTTAAAGACTGGCAGACTGATGAGATTCTCCCTCTGCTCATTCTGCTTACTCCTCCTTATAGCATATTTCTTGTTAACACATTTGCATGCCGGCTTTCAGTCCTGCCCCTCCCTCTCTCAGTCTGAATGGTGCAGTATAACCACTTCCCGACCGGCCGTTGTATATAAACGGCCGGACGGTGGCACAGTGAAACACCGATCGTCAGACGGGACCTCTGTACCTCTGTACGAGGTCGCGATCATGTGATCACTGATTGGCCAATCAGTGATTACATGCAAAGTAGTAAGCAAGATGTCACTTCTGACATCATTGCTTACTACGTGTGAAATCTGTGAATGATCACAGAGGTCACATGGTACAAGGCTATTCACAACAGCCTTGTACCATGTGACAAGCTGTGACCAATCACAGCTCACTCAGTAGTTCTCAATGGCTGCAAGAATGCAGACAGAGAGAAAGAGAAATGATTGCTTTTACATCCTATATGGGTGTAAAAGCAATCAGTGACACTACTGCTAGGGTGACAGTATGTAAAAAAAATAAAAATAAAATAAATAATATAAAAAAAATATATATATAAAACAAAATGTTTAAAAATTATAATTTTTGGTTATAAACTAATTTGGCTTATTTTTTTTTTTTACTAAAAAGATAACGGAATAAATTTTGGCCAAGATTTATGATGAAATATTTTTTATTTGCAAAATTGTATAAAAAAAACACTTTTTTTCAAAATTTTTGGACATTTTCATTTACATAGCAAAAAAAAAATAAAAATCCCAGCGGCGAATAAATACTATCAAAATAAAGTTTTATCTGTCTCAAAAAAATGGTAAAACATTCATATGGGTACAGTGTTGCATGACCGTGCAATTGTCATTCAAAGTGTGATAGCGCTGAAAGCTGAAAATTGCCCTGGTCAGGAAGGGGGTAAAAGTGTCCGGCCTGGAAGTGGATAAGGAAAACAAGATGTTGATATCAAGTCAAATGTAGGTACTTAAGAGGGAAACTTCTCTTTCCTGGGGGAAAAAAATAATATAGTGTATACAATTACTACACAAGTCATATTGTAATTGAATGTTATTAAAAAATTACCTTTCCTTTTCACTCTGCAGTGCTGTAATTTTCTATGCAATATGGCTACCTGGATGAGTTCTGTACACAGATGGTGTACAGAGGGCCCCCCAAGAAATGCTCACTGATTTTGCCAGAAGTCTGCACTAAGATACAAATCAGATTTTGAGCATCCCCTGCAACAAAAATGTCATTTTTGGTGAGATACTCCCAAAGGGAAATCACATCTAAAAGGATGCAGACCGGGCTTCTTTTCTCATTAGAACCCTGCAAGGGCAGCAGATGATTGCTAATTAAAAATCCGCTCCCATACAGATTCACTCTGCACATGGGCACAGACAAACAAACAGCTATTTCTTCAGAATAACAAAAGGTAGGAATCTGCAACAAAGTTTGTTGAAATCCTTGCAATATACACTGCTCAAAAAAATTAAATCAGATTTAATTTTTAATCAGCGTCAAGTCAATTAAACTCCTGGGATATTGATCTGGTCATTTAAGTAGCAGAGGGGGTTGTTAATCAGGTTCAGCTGCTTTGGTGTTAATGAAGTTAACAACCAGTGCACTAGATGGACAACAATGAGAAGACCCCCAAAACAGAAATGGTTTTACAGGTGGAGGCCCTGACATATTTTTCCCTACTCATCTTTTCTGACTATTTCCCACTAGTTTTGCAGTTGGCTAGGGTCAGTGTCACTACTGGTAGCATGAGGCAATACCTGGACCCTACAGAGGTTGCACAGGTAGTCCAACCCCTCCAGGATGGAACATCAATATGTGCCATTGCCAGAAGGTTTGCTGTGTCTCCCAGCACAGTCTCAAGAGCATGAAGGATTCCAGGAGACAGGCAGTTACTCTAGGAGAGCTGGACAGGGCCATAGAAGGTCCTTAACCCAGCAGCAGGAATGGTATCTGCTCCTTTGTGCAAGGAGGAACAGGATGAGCACTGCCAGAGCCCTAAAAAATTACCTCCACCAAACAACCAGAAACAGACTTCATGAGGGTGGTCTGAGGGCCCGACATCCGCTAGTAGGCCCTGTGTTCCACTGTGACGGGCGTGGCATCAGACCCCTGACCTTCTCACCAAACTCGTGACTGAAGGACTAGCCAATCTAACACCACAATGTCACGTGCGCAA